TTGCCTCTTGCCATAGAACCACCACCTGTGAGAGAAGGGAAGAGCAGTTAGAACCCCAGTCTCTCAGTGCACCATACCCAAGGGAGAATCTCCACTCCATGAGCAAGGGCTGAGTTTCAAAGAAAGGAGCTCCTGTCCTTGGCCACACTTGCCTGGAACTAGCCTAAGGAGTAGGTACTGAGGGTCGAATGAGAAACACTGAAGTCCTGCTCCTCCAGGAAGAAAGAGGGTGAGGCATCCTACGTTTTTGGCAGCAGTCTGGAGCCCCGCTTAACTTGTGCGGGACAAACACAGTGGACTTTGTCCAAACACAGTGGACTTGTTACAGGGCAGGGAGAGGGGCACCCCAAGACCCCCAAACCTGCCTGCTCTAAATAGGTTCTGCCATCTGCTGCATCAAGATAAAGCATTTAATACCTTTAATGGAAAGGAACTTTAATACAATTAGTGTGCAGTACAGAAAAGACAGAAAATATAATTTTTAAATCAGATACCCAAAGTTACCCATCCCCTTGTGGGCAAATGCCCAACCAAACAGGATTGGCCCAAATAGGCCTGAAAGCCTGCCTCAAGTCTAAAACACCTTTCAGCGGGGACCCATAGAAAAGGGTCAGAAGCAGTCAGGCAAGTCTGGGAGGAAAAGAGCAAAATCAAAACCAGTGTAAAAGCTGCCATTGGTAACCACCTCACGGGTCTCTCACCTACGTCTGTTTCAACCAGTCCAGGGCCAAGAAGCAAGCGCACCTTCTTCATGTGTCTCTTGGCTCCACATGGCTTCTCCAGGTCTCCTTGCTCTCCATCCTGCTTCCTTCCTTCTCCAGTGTCCTCTCCAGCTTCTCCTCCCTGCTCAGCTACACTCTCCCTTAGGTGGGGCAGGGAACCTGGAACCTCCCCTTTTCCTGGGGACCACCCTGTTACAGACGCTCATCTTTATTACCAGATTTTTATAGATTCTCTTGAAGTTTTTTAATTTGTTGTTTGCCCTTAGGACTATTTCAAGAGGCTTTAAGTGTTTTGTTTTGTTTTGCTAAAATCCCAGACCACAGTAATGTTTTGCTTTTTTCCACCAGTTTCACTGGGAACAGGTCAGTAGAGCTCCTGTTGCTATCATCTAGAAGTTGATCTTCCTGAGTTGGTTTTCTACTGAAGGAAGTACAAGTAATTGGTTTAAGAAGGCTAGTTTTCTGGGAACCTGATTGAGAAACAATGACATACAGTTGAAAGGTTAACAGGAGGTACTGCACGGCCTTCTCTGCAGTTTTGGTTACACACAGTCAGCTGCTACAAACAAGATATTTTGGGAGAGAGAGAGACCCCATTTATATAAATTTTATATAGTATATTATCATAATTTTTCTATATTATTATTGTTAATCTCTTACTGTGCTTCATTTATAAATTAAACCTTACCATTTTCTGCCATCTTGGACCCCATGGAGACCTGCAGGGAACAGGACTTCTCAAATATAGCTGGAAGGTTGTGGTCCAAGGCTATTTTTGCTGACTAAAAGCGGGCTTTCTGGAACCAGAGAGAGCATGTACCTCATCTTAAAATTGAAAGTGTTTATGCTCAAAATGAACTGAATTCTGTCTATGAATGAGATGTGCTTACTTGTACAAAATAACACAGTGACTCCTGGTGGCAAATGAAATAAAATTCGAGTAAACTGGGGAAAGGTAATACGAGCTCGTGGAAACAGTGGTATGGTTCCCACCAAATTATGAAGTAACCTTCCTGCTGAGGTCATAGGACACAATCCATGTGCTGCTATACCTCAAGGATTTAAACTTATTGAAAAGCCAATAAATAAAAGATTTGTCCTCTTATATTTTGTTAGAAATAATTAAACCTTATTATTGGTATGTATGTACAGAAGAAACATAGTTTTGTATGTAGAGTTCAATACTATTTGTGGTTTCCCCAGTTCAGTAAGACTGTTGTAGGGCCTCCCCGGTGGCGCATTGGTTGAGCTCTGGGTTGCGAAGCTGCCCGCAGCATCTGCAGCACCAGTTCGATCCCTGGTTGCTCCCCGGCCACCGGAGGAGGGTCCCACATGGCGCACAGACCTCTCCTGCTGCCCGCTGCTCCCCTCAGCAGTGTACTTCTGTCCTTCTGCCTGCTCTGCTCCCCGCTCTGGCTCTGGTGAATTCTCTCACCCTCCCGCGCTTCTGACTGTGCCCAGTGATTATATAAATAAATAAATAAATCTTAAAAAAAAAAAAAAAAAAGACTGTTGTAAATGCTAATGAATTCTGAGGAAGGAGGATGAGGTAGGATGGAAAGTTAAAGGAAGGATGGAAGTAGCCTGTTTCATTGTTTATATTCTGTCTGTATGGGCTTAAGACTCCTGGAGGCTTGGCCTTAAAGGTTTTAAAAATCAGGTACCAAGTGTTCTTAGAGAAATGTGAATGTGTAGAGTATAGTGATTAGCTTGCTGAACAGTTGGCTTTATCTCCCTGTTTAGTGTTTTTTTTTTTAAAGTAAGTAGAGTACATTTTTCTGATTTTAATATATTTCTGCATATAAACCCCTTTAATACACTCCCCCCCCCAGAAGCATTAATAAGTCCAGATTGACTTTACTACATATAACATTTGAAGTTATACTCCTGAGGTCTCTTTTTTTTAATTGAATTTTAACCTTATATTTGACAAAAATAGTTGAGCAGCTGTGATTGAGCAAACTTGTATTGTCATATTCAAAGTTGCTAGTGTATATAGTAATATTTGTCATTTTTTACAGAGTAACAGGAGCCACAAGTACCAAGTGTTAAAAATAACTGAGCTATTGCATTATATTAACACCACAGATTCCAGTTTTTTCCTTTGAAAAGTTTGATGTGGGTCTGAGTCAAATGACTTTAAGTGCGCATTAAGAAACTAAAGGGAGTTTTATCTTCCATCTAATTCAGAAGCAGGAGAAAATGAAATACAAGTCGTTTGCAATGAACACTGTCATTATAGCTACAAGTGCTTCCCATCAAAGGTTTTCTTTTAATCCTGTTCATTGGGAAACTGAAAAACTGTATAATCACTTCTCTCCCATTCCCATCACTATCTTTTAGTACAAACTGTTGTGAACTGTTAATATTTTCTTAATCTTTCTTTGTTTCTTAGTGTCGAGTTCTGATAAATCAGCTCAATACATACTTGAGTCCTGACAATGTGTGTCAGGAGTACAGACAACTGTGAGGCCCAGTCACATTTGAGATTTCAGGGCATAAATATACAACAGTCAAAGTGCAATATAAGAAGAATGAAAGTTGAGCAAGTGGTCTGTTATGATCTAAGACCTAAAAGCCAGTTTTGGAAAGTGAGTAGGATTTGGATAAGCTTTGAGAGGTTGAGAAGTGTAGGGAAGACCTCTACGTTGTACACAAAGCCTGAAAGCTAGAATATGCATTGTAACTGGATACATGAGGTGTCTATACGTCCTAGATTGGAAGTTTCTAGCAAGAGAAGTACCATTGATTAATTGTGGTGAACCTTGAATGTGAAACTAAGAACTTTTAACTGTCTTTTTTTGTAGTTAGTGGGAAACCATTAAAGCTTTTTGAGCAGACAAATGTCATCTCTAGTGACAGTGTGTAGGGTGAATTGAAAATTTTTATAGACACTCAAGCCCAATTTTTTTTTAAAGATTTATTTATTTGTTTATTTATTTATTTATACAAGTACTGGGGACGTCAGAAGCGCAGGAGGGTGAGAGAATTCACCAGAGCCAGAGCGGGGAACAGAACAGGCAGAGTGGCTAAATACATTGCTGAGGGGAGCAGCAGGCGTGGCAAGAGAGGTCTGTCATGCATGTGGGACCCTTGCTGGCAGCCGGGGATCCGAACCTGCACTGCAAAGGCTCCGGGCAGCTTCTCAGACCAGAGCTCAACTGCTGTGCCACCAGGAGAGGCCCATCAAGCCCAATTTTCTCTCTTTTTCTTTGTCCTTTGTTTAATGGAGGAGTATGAATTCTGTTTCAAATTAAAGCTTTTTGAAGCCCACAGGTTATAACTCAACACAAGCTTCTCCATAAAAAGCAGGATGTTAAGGATGAGCACATAAAGGACTGAATAATTCATTAACTGAAGGGTTAGGTAGTTTGGCTTTGATGGGGTAATTTAGCTTGAATGTTGGTTTTGCCAATCACTGTAAACATTGAACAAACTTTTTAACATTTCTAAGCCTCATTCTTCATCTGGAGAAAAGAACTAGTAATATACCCCCTCTCAGGATTGTGAGCATAAGATAAAGGCTATAAAGCTCTTAGCATCCTACCTGGCAAATAATAGAAGGTTCTGAGGGACATCTTTGCTACCATTAACTGTTGTTGTTACTGTTGCTTTAATATTATTGTTGTCATTGTCTGTACTGATCTCTATCAATTATATGTCTATATGGAACAGTGTAGTCTGAATTTTGATCTTGGTCCAGAAAGAGTCTCTCAATTGCCCCACCCAAGCTTCAGGACATACTAGTGGCCTCTGGATTTTCATTCTCTTTTAAGTGCCCTGCCATGTCAATAAGGTTGAGTGCCGTGAGAAGCACCATGTGTTGCCAATTATGAGGGAGCCTATCAGGTTTAGTTTTGTAGGCACATGCAGTATTAGGTGGTGGTTTTGTTTTATGCTTTCCTACAAGTAAATTTTGTTATTATGCTTTTTTTTTTTTTAATATTTATTTATTTATTTATACAAGCACTGGGTACAGTCAGTAGCGCGGGAGGGTGAGAGAATTCACCAGAGCCAGAGCGGGGAGCAGAGCAGGCAGAAGGACCGAAGTACACTGCTGAGGGGAGCAGCGGGCGGCAGGAGAGGTCTGCGCGCCATGCGGGACCCTCCTCCAGTGGCCGGGGAGCAGCCGGCGATTGAACCGGCGCCGCAGAGGCTGAGGGCAGCCTTGCAACCCAGCGCTCAACCGCTGCGCCACTGGGGAGGCCCCTAAATTTTGTTATTACGCTTTAAACTGTGTTTTTATTCAGAAATTTAGACATATCTTTACTTTTGTAGGTTTAAGCCATTTTTTCCATTCCAAACCTTGCAAGGATTTGAAGATGATGATGAAGAGCATATCCATATACAGCAATGGGCACTTACTGAAGGCCGCCTTAAAATCACATTGCTAGAATGTAGCAGGTATGTAACTTCTTTGTTAATATCATTACTGCATTATGGGAACAATGTACAGTGCTGATGTACTGTATTTATTCTCCCTTTATGTTTATGTTGTATTATCTGTAAGTTCTTTAATCATAAATTTCATTAAATAGTTCTTTCCAGCTTGCAAAAAATATAAACCATACTTTAGAAAGCATTTGAATGGGCTTGCGGGAGTGGACGGTAGAATCATTTATTCTGCAGTAACTCTCAAACTTTTTAGATGTACCATCCTCTGTGGGCATACTTCTAAATTACTATAGCATAATAGTAATTTATGAGAAAGATTTGTGATTGGGGATACTCTGGCAAGCTGCAAAACTAGGTTTGGAAACCCATGTGGATTCTTAGATTTTTTCCCTGACATATACCAGGAAAGTCCTACTTCTTTGTTCTAGTGTTACTGGTGGAATTATGGATTGATTTTATGTCAGTTGCTCCTGGTGATTTAACCGCTAGCTATTGGTGTCACCTTTGCGCACCTTTATCTTGCTTTATCTGAGATACTACTCACTTAAAGTCTTGCTGTCAGCCTTGATTCAAAGACTGCATGAAAGCATTGAGAAGTATAGTTAGGTATTACTTAGGTCATGTTGAATTGAGATAAATGATATAAAGAAAAGTGTTAAAATTTGTGGAGTATTTATATCCTACATTATTTTAATGAGTAAATACATAATGAATTTCTGAAAGAATATGCAGGAGACCCATTCAAATTCTTATGGGGTAAAGGGAGGAGGAGAAAAGTGGGTTAGTGATTCTTTTTACGCAAACTTTTTTTATTGTTTGATTTTTGTGATGTATCACCTGGTTGAAATAAAGACCAGAACTTCTAGAGAGTGCATAATTGAGGTAAAGAGGAAAGCATGGAAAGTACTTCTTTTTTGTTAGTCTTAAATTAATCTGGTAGACTTGGGTTATATTCCCGACACCTATCACCAGGTGACAGCCTAACCTTGGGAACAAGTACACTATCTAAAAGAGTTTTCCGGTCTTTAAAAACCAGAATTTGGAAGATTACTTAGTATATGTAACTTAGCATAGTAGCTGTGTTGTTATTCATATAGTTTAAGGACAGCTTAAAGTTGTTTATAGATAAAACAAAGTACTGTTACCAATTCATCCTGCTTTTTGTCTTCATATCAAACTCAAAACATTCTTTTCATATTCTTATTAAAATCTTACATTATTGTCTTTCTTGTAAACTTTTTCTCTTAATATGAAAATAGAACTCTCAGCTCAGATAGATTACATGTTTTTTAAGATTCAGACTTAAAGAGGACATATTGCTGTAATCCATTGACCATTCTCCTGCTTCTGAATATAAATACATCTTGTGGTTTATTGAAATCTGTAATGGAAAAAGAAAGTGACACCGTAGAAAATGGAAGGCAGGGAGGGTGCAGAAGGAAGGACCAAGAAAAAAGATGATCATTTCAGTTTTGGAAACAACGTAAAGACTTAGGGTTTTTGTTTATTTTTTCCACTGTGACTACTTTACTTAGGTTTGAAAGACATAGAAATTATAGAATGATCAAAATTTTTAAGAAAGTTTAAATCAAAAAGAAAAAAAAGGAAGTTTAAATCAATTAAGTAAAACCATTTCTGTAACACCATTTGTGTGTGAATAGAATTGTTTTGAATTAGTATACTCTTGGGAGTTGAAGTTACTTGAGCTTTTAGCATTTAGGCACTTTGCACTCTTTATTTCTAGCTCTCAGAACATCTTTATGAGATTTAGTATTCTTTACAATCATTTTATAGATGAAGACTTGAGATCTGTAAGTTACTTGCCCAGGACTCTGTAGTTGGAATTTGATTCTAGGTTATTCATTCTTTATTATCTTCATATTCTTTCTTTATTTTTAACTTACGGAAGAAAAACATGCTTCTAAAATTTTTCTTTTTATGTTAGAAATACACATATTTTGGGAATGTTTTGTCTATTTGAGGGCAGGTCTTTATTTTTTTAAATAAGTTTTCCAGTCTATAAATTAGGGTAGTAATATTACCTGTTTTAGAGTTATGGTGAAAATTGAGTGAGATAATAAATGTAAAAAGTCTTAAAACTGTCTGACAGTAAATATTAACTGCTGTCACTACTGTTGTTACCACCAGTTCCATCCTCAGTAGGGGAGGCATTTTTATCTTAAGTGTTATGGTGACTATAGAAGTGTGAAGTCTGCCCTCTAGAAACTTAAAATGTAGTTGAAGCTAACAAACTTGCAAATGCAGCACACATAAACAAGTGAACTATGCAGACTGTCTCACTTGAATTGAGAATTGGATATAAATGATATAGAAATTTAGTGCAAGGAAAAATTATTTTGTAGATGAGGCTGGTACGGAACACTTCATGAATAAGAGTTGTATCTTCCAAGACAGTGGTAGCTTTTAGGTAATTGGCAAAAGAGTCGATGCATTAAAAGTGAGAATTTGTTAAGTATTTTTAGGACGTGTCTGGAGTATAATGTTTGATGTAAAAAATCAGTGCCAACTTTTCTAGCAAAAGAAGTCAAGATTGTTATCCTTTAATCAGAAGGAAGTTATTAAAGGTTTCTGAAGGTAATTTTAAGAAACATTTGTATTCAGAAGATTGTTATTTATTTGATAGATTGCAGAGAGAGAGAGAGAGAGACAGAGAGAGAGAGAGAGAGAGAGAGAGAGAGAGATTGAAGCCCCAGAGAAATTAAGAGGTGGTGTAGGTAAGTGCTTGAAAGACATGACTTAGTAGGTACAGCAAGGAAGGAATTATAAAACAGGGTTTCTTGAGGAACTGAGTATGTGCAAGTGGAGAAAGACTGAGGTTTTTGACTAGGAGGAGAATTATGGCACCAGTGACTTTGATCTGGTCAAGTATTGATTATTTTCTAAATATTGGAAGATACAAAGAGCAGAACACAGCTCTGCCTCTCAGGACTCTTGGGGGAAATGGAGGTGTAGGTGTGTTTGTTTCAGAGGCAGGTTAATTTGATTGTATATATATTTAGTAGTTGAGTATGGTTAAGATTTCCCTATAGAAGTCTTCTGCAAACTTGGGGTTTTAGAAATGAAGCAGGAGTTAGATGAGGACTAAAGGTTAGGTTTAGAGATCTTTGTTCTGTACCAGAGAATTGAGTCCAGGGTGCATATGGTTTCTGAGGGGAGGCGTGCAGAGAGGACGTCATCGTGCGTGGGCAGTCAGCCAAGTGTGATACTTCTCCCAATCAGTGAGCTGATAATTGACTCCCTTCATGTGTGACACTCTCCTTTCAAATTATGTATAAAATTTTTAAATTTTAAAATTTTTTTTTGTTTTTCACTTTTGATTATAAAAATGACTTTCTTACAGAAGACAGAATGGGAATTACTTTCTTTCCTCAGTGGTTTGATCTTGAGTCATACAAATTCTACTCTTTTCTTAGTTTCTTGATAGGTAGTATTTGTGCTTAATGTTTAACATGAGGTCTCAGTATACCTTTGCTTTTAAAATTAAACAGGTTGAACTTGGAAAGGACTCTCAGAGCTAACAGCTCTTTCAGGACAGGTCTAAAGGCAGTTTGCTTTGTCTTTGTTGTTTAGCAGAATGGCATTCTCCTCCCCTCCTAGGAGATAATAATAGTAAAGTTTGTTTGTACTCATTTCTTAATATTCAATATATATTGTTTATTTTGCTCAAAATATTTTTCAGCCAGTGATTGGTTATCACCTATTTCTGGTGATTATATAATTTTAGTGAAAAGCCTCTGTTATCTCCAGATTAAACTGTAAATGCATGAGGCATAGAATGAAAATTGATTTTAAATAGTCTGCTCTAAAAACTAAAGTAAATGCCTTCTAAATTTACTTTCTAAATAATGTTTCCAGTGGAACTTCTTTCCAGCATTTCTCTGAAAATTTACATATTTTTTCCAAGTCTCAAGAGATATCATTCATAAAATCAGGAAAATGGGAATGTTATCATTCTTCTAGGAGAATTAAAGCTTTAACAATCATTGTAGAATTCACTACTGATTGAAGGAATTCACTGCTTAAAAGTCAAAAGCAGGCACAAGAAATACTAAGCAATCTCGTAACTTGTCCTGATTGCTGCTAATGATGAATCATTCTTGACAGCAAAATAAATATTGATAATTTTATGCACTTAGTAAACTTTATAAAAATCCTAAGAAATACTTTTTTTTCCCCCAAGAAATAACCAGTTTTTAAAACAAAATAAATCCTTAAATTGGCATTCATGATACAAGCTTCTCTATAGTATTGTAAACTGTTCTAGGAGATTCTGGCGTTACCTTGTTAGAGTTATCTTGTTTGCTGACTTTTTCCAGGATATAAATATTCACCATAGGCTACAGTTGTATATAAGCACTTTAACTGAAGAAATGTAAGGAGAAGATAGATGTGAATATTGTATAATGCTGTCACATAGAATCAGAAATTGATCTAAAGTCAATTTATAAGAGCGACGTCCCATTTCGGGGCACGTATTCAGACAAAATATTTTCATCATTAAAAAAAAAGAAGTAAGCTTATCTAACACAACATATGCCTTAACTTTCAACTTGAAGGTGTTTTTGAAAGCACTTAGACAAGTCAGTATCACTGCAAAATGAAAAGGTTTTCTACAGTTGAAGTGTTTGTCACAGAACAAAGATCAGGACTGTCCGATAGGACAATTAATGCTTTAAAATGCCGTTAAGATTGATAACTATTAAATGTTATTTGTGGTATTCCAATATTTTAAATGATTTTTATTTGGATTAATTTTCTTTTAAGGTACCATCTTTTAATATTTTCTGTTATCAAAATGTCAGCATCGTAAAAATCATTTTTTCATTTTATTAAAATATATAATCTTGTTCAATTATATTGATTCATAGAAATGAAAAACCAAGTACTTGTATCTTTTCATAAAAACCTTTTAAACTTTCAGTGTAACCATAACAATATACTATTTATATGATCACTCATTATTCCTTTTTTTCTTTGAACAGTTTTATTGAGATATAATTCACATACCATAAAATTCATACATTAGAAGTGTACAACTTAATGAGTTTTGGTATATTCACAGGGTTATATAAGTATCATGACAATCTAATTGTAGCACACTTTTGTTCCTTTCAATAAAATTCCGTTCCTATTAGCAGGCAATTCCTATTCTCTTTAGTCCTCCTCCCAAAGCTCTGAGTAATCACTAATCTACTTTTTGTCTCTATAATCTGCATTTTGTCTCTGTTCCAAAGATCTCACATAAATGGAGCCATGCAATATGCCCCTTCTTTCATGGAGTATGTTTTCAAAGTTCATATTGTAGCATGTATCATTACTTCATTTCTCTTATAGCTGACTGATATTCCATTGTATATATATGTACATATATATACATATATATATGTGTGTATGTGTGTATACTGTATTTTATTAAACCATTCATTGATTGATAAATGTTTGAGTTTTTCCACTGTTTTAATTATTAATTATTATGAGTAATGCTGCTGTGGAGATTCATGTCAAGTTTTTGTGTGAATGTATACTTTTCATTTCTCTGATTATTCCTAGGAATGAATTGTTGGATCATAGTTAACTAATTATATATCAACTTTTTAAGGAGTTTGTGGACTTCTAGTGAGTCCGAACCTGGGACACAACGGGGAGGGAAATCAGACATGGGGGACTGTCATGTCCAGCATGCAGTAAATCTTTATTATTTTAGTGCTCATTATCTACTATTTTAATTGCAGCAGGTGAAACATCAAAGCATACCATATAATGATAACATGTATGAGTGATTAGTCTATTTTCTTACTATTATCTATTTACTTCAGACAGTAGGGTACCAGGTGGTTAGTTCTCACACACATAATCTTATCGCCTCCTAGCCAGAGCCTGGGAAGTTTGCTCATTATTTTGTTGTTCTCAAACTGTGGAGATGTACGCAGTTCACTTCCAGGCTCTCAACACCAAGTCCTGTCACCCAGAGGTTTTCCTCCGAGACGCATGTGTTTTCACATGCCTTAAGGACTCAGGTCAAGGCCCTTCTGCTCACTGCGCAGGGTCTCTCCATTTTGTTATTCTCATACTGTGGAGATGTAGAAGCCCGACTCCACGCAGGTCACTTTCCAGGCTCTCAACACCAAATCCTGTCACTCAGAGGTTTTCCTCCGAGACACATGTGTTTTCACATGCCTTAGGGACTCGGGTCAAGGCCCTTCTGCTCACTACGTGGGGTGGCCGCCTCCAACAGGAATTAAACTGTTTTTCAGTGTTTGCACCATTTTACATTCCCCCCTGCAGTGTATGAGGATTCCAGTTTCTTGTGGTACTCACCAATACTTGTCTCACTGTAGTCATCTTTGTGGGGTTGAAGTAGTATTGCATTGTGGTTTTTATTTGCATTTCCCTGATGGCTAATAATGTTGATCAAATTATCATGTGCTTATTGGCTATTTGGATATACTCTGTGGAAAATGCTTATATCGTTTTTCAATTTTTTTTTTTTAAAAATATTTATTTATTTATTTATACAAGCACTGGGTACAGTCAGAAGCGCAGGAGAGTGAGAGAATTCACCAGAGCCAGAGCAGGGAGCAGATCAGGCAGAAGGACCGAAGAACACTGCTGAGGGGAGCAGCGGGCAGCTGGAGAGGTCTGCACGCCATGTGGGACACTTGCCTGGCAGCCGGGGATTAAACCGGTGCTGCAGAGGCTGCGGGCAGCTTCACAACCCAGCGCTCAACCGCTGCGCCACTGGGGAGGCCCTCGTTTTTCCATTTTAAAGTTGTGTTATATAATACATAACTTGAAAATATTTTCTCCCAGTCTATGAATTTTCTTTTTATTTGTTTGATGATGTCTTTTGAAACCTCCTAATTTTATCTATTTTTTTTTTTTTTGATACTAAAACTTTTGGTGATGTGTCTTAAGAAACCATTGCCTAATTCAGGGTCACAAAGATTTGCTTTTATGTTTTCTCTCTGACATTTAGGTTTATAACATTTTGAGTTAATTTTTGGTACATTTTTTAAAATGTAAAAAATATGTGTTATGAAAAATATAGGCTAAGTTATGATTTGGGGGTTAAATTCCAAAAATGGTATTTTTTCATTTCTGAATCCTGAGGATTTGGGAGCACTTGTGGTACCCAGGCCTTTTCTGTATAAGTAGTTTGCTCTTTTGAACAGATGGTGGCAGCAAAGCTTTGATGAATTATTCTTGTTGAAATTAGTATTTCATTATATTAAAATTATTGATATTATTAATAATGAATCTTATTAATGTTTCTACCTGCCATCTTTTTGGCAGTAGTAGCTTTTTAAGCCCTAGTTTAAATTTCCTTTTAAGATTAAAAATTATTTACATTGAATTTTTTTTGTTTCTATTCATAGGTTTTTCCATTTATGAATAGTTTGTGAGGAATGAACGTAATTTGCTTGAGGTTTCCAATCTTAGAATTTGATTTTCTCATATTACTATAATATATTTTACCCACTTTTCTTCCATTATCTTACTCCTACCCCTGTCCTCCTCTTGTAGAGAGAAAGTAATAACATACTAGCCAAAATGTTGATTAATGCTCAAGTTTTTGTCAAGCCATTTCTGAAATATTTGAAGACTTACGTTCTGATTTAGAAGACATATAATACACAAGTTGGACATGTGGGTAACATTTTTTCCCTTTTAGTAATGAAATCATCTCAAGATTGCACCAGAGATTTTCTTTCCAGATCTGAATATTAAACACTAAAATTAGGGGATATGATTATTTTTTGACAGGTGTTTTCAAGATATTAGAAAAAGCAAACATTTTTGAGCACTTACTGTTTGCTAGGCTTTATGTGTGCTAAATAAATACCTTGCATGCATTGCTTCTTTTACTAACAACAGGTCTTAGAGATAAGTACTACTTTTGCTTTGAATTTTTCAGAGAAGATGAGTTTAGAAAAGTTAAATAATTTCCCTTAAAATTACTTTAGTAGGGGTGTGTGTGTGTTTGTTTATAAACTAACTATACTGTTTTTACAGAAATGGTACCATGCTCTCTCTCTCTCTCTCTCTCTCTATATATATATATATATCACTCTGCAACTTATTTGTTAAATTTAATAATCTAATGTGAGGATCCATAGCTCTTGCTGCTTGCATGTAGCTGTCTGGTCAATTTGTTTATCTCATATATGCATACTTTCTGTTTGATTTAGATAATATCTATTTGATTTTGCTGATAAAGGAAAGCTTTTCCTGGAATTTCACCTAATTTTAGCTTTACTTCATTTCTCCACTAGAGGGAGCCCCAAGTGTTTGATTGCATTTTTTTGTTACCTGAACAATAATAGTAATGGAGCAATTTATTATTCTTGAAACAATGATGAAAAATTTAAATATATACAACCAGTATAATAGTCTATTTGTTTCATTTTTATACTGCAGGTTACTCATTTTTGGATCCTATGACAGAGAAGCAAATGTTCATTGCACACTTGAATTGAGCCGTGGTGTTTGGGAAGAAAAACAAAGGAGTTCTATTAAGACGGTAAAGTGAATATACATAGTTTCACATTTGAATAAATTTTTTTATTCTGTAAGCATGTTTTTATTAATAGCTCTTTATTCTCTTACTTGTCTTATAGTACAACATCAGTAAATATGAGTCACATGAAACTACAGTATTGAGATCATTGGCTTTCATAAAAAAGCTAACCTGATTAATTTTCTACCCAGAACTTTAAAATTGTTTCACAGTTATAAAATTAGAAGGAAATAGTTCTAAATACCTTAGAAATATGTAAATTCAGTGCATTCATTCATTCAACAGGTATTTTAAGGAGCACTGACTTTGTGCTAGACACTGTTTTAGATGTTGGAGAAACAGTTCAGGAAAAGACAGGACCTGTTTTTGTGCTGCTAACATGATTAGAAGCTTGGTGTGAGGGTTGTAATCAAGAGGGGAGAAGTGAATTACACTTTAGGATAGAGGTAGAACTTAGCAATAAATGAGTAAACTAAGGAAGTAAACAGTAATTTTCAAAGATTAACAAGTACTGTGAGGAAAATAGCTATAACAAAGAAGTTAGGAGTTAGGACAAAGGACACTGTAGATCTGGTCACAATAGGGAAAGCCTCTGAAGAGATGCCACTGGAGCAGATTTGCCAGAGAAAATACAAGATACCCAGTAAATTTGAATTTCAAATAAACTTGGAAAAAAAAATTTTTTTTTAAAGATTTATTTATGCAAGCACTGGGTACAGTCAGAAGCGCCGGAGGGTGAGAGAATTCACCAGAGCCAGAGCAGGAAATAGAGCAGGCAGAAGGACCGAAGTACACTGCTGAGGGGAGCAGCGGGCGGCAGGAGAGGTCTGCGGGCCATGTGGGACCCTCCTCCGGTGGCCGGGAACAGCGGGGGATCGAACCAGCGCTGCAGAGGCTGCGGGCAGCTTCGCAACACAGCGTTCAACCGCTGCGCCACAGGGGTGGCCCGAAAAAAAAATTTTTTTAACATAAGTCTATCCCCCACTTTTATTTGCTGAATCTGACAACTTTACATGGGAAGTGAGGCCCACATCATAAAGAGGAGAGAGGCCTGTGTGTAAGTGAGAGTGAGTGGAAGGCGGTTCAGGCAAAGGGAACAACAAATGTCTAAAGATATGTTAGTTTGAGGAACAGAGATAAGGCTGGTATAGCTGGAAAATGATAAATGAGGCTGATTCATGATTGATCTAGTAGGGCATGATGAGGTGTTAGAATTTTATTATTTGTAGTGAGAGAGTTTTAAGATGAGAAGTGACATGATCTTATATACATTTTGTGAAAAATGTTGTGCTGTGTAAAGGATTGTAGAAAGAAAGGAGTAAATGTAAAGAGGCATCAGGTAGACATTTTGAGGAGCCATTGTTTATATTAAGTAGGTGGAAGCCAAAGAAGTAGAAGGCAGAGGATTAATTTGGTTGTAAACTTTAGGTATTTGCTTTTAGAATTCTGTTGCTGTTGTGATATCTGTTAAAATAGGCTATCACCTAAATTGCAAGACTGAAAAATAAAATGTAAAGGCCTTTAACATACTCTTAAGTACTATAATTAAAATAAAAAACAGTGCTTTGCATTATTAACATGTTTTATTTGGACTTGTTGGGTTATTTAGATTCTTAAATGAATAAAAATTTTCTCTGGTTATTCTTTTCAAAGTTGAGTTGGTATTTTCTGAATACTCTGCATAGCAGCTTTTATAGCAGTTATATAATGCTTCTTGGAATTTACCTAAATCTAATAGTCTGTTATTGATTTATATATAAGATAAAATCTTATTTAGTACATTGTTAGGTTTTGCATAAATTATAGTTGCATTCTTTAAAGATGTATCTAATAACAAGTATTTAATATTTTCTATCACACTTAACTCTTCATGGCCAATCCTGTGATAATTGTAGCCAACAGAGGAACCATCTCTTACTATGTCTTCATTATACTGATGAGTAGGTACTTTTGAACTGTACTGGCTACCTGTTTTATAGTGGTAATAATGTTCTTGATTTTTCTCTAATAGTATGTAATTAATTGTTCATAGCATTTTAAAAAAAGTCAAAATTCCCAATTTCTTAAATAGGTCCATAAACATCACCATGCTTTTGAAGAACATGACTTATACTGGCTTTGTGATATTTTAATGGGAAATTCCTAACTTTTCAGTTGTTTCCACCTTTTTTTATGTAGCTACTGTTGTGAACATCCTTAACATAAACATTGAACAATGTGAAATTCTTTGGGGGTAAGTTTGATCAGGACAGGATAGTAGGGACAAGTAAAGGTGGGAAAAGAGGATCGACTGACCCACAGAGTGTGCATTTAAGAAATGGTTGGGAGCTGTTGGAGATTTTGAGCATGAGAATGACATGGTCAAAATGTGATTTTTCAGAAAACCTGCCCTTTCTTTGGTGGTTGTTCATGTCTCATCTTTGTTTTAATTTTCATCTCAAGCAATTTGAAGCAACTCCTCCAAGGAATAAAATCAGCAGCTTTACAGTTTTATCTGAAATACATAAATACATGAAAAGGCATTATTTTTTTGTCCAGATTATGAAATGATCATAACTTGACTTTGCTGTTGGCATTTTCAGTTTCCTAATCATATTTGCAAAGAGATGAGACTAGACAGCTTTAATATTTTGTAGCAAAGGTTACTTGACTTTAATCTTGAATCATTATTTCAGATCTTAGTATATGTCATGGGTAGTTTTGGGAAAATAATTTTAGGTTACTAATTACATCATGTTGAAAGTGTCAGCAGCAATAAATGTCTACGGGTGTTAAATTGCATATGTCTGAATTTTATAACTGGGGAGGGCAATTGAAGTTTTGTTCAACACTACAAAACTTTGCAGAACAAGTATCCTAAAGTATAATGATTTTAGAAACTGTCTTTGAATATAGTCTTCAGGATTAAATCAATTTTTTAAATGTTGAAATATATTCATTGGCGTAAACCACTAATGTCAGTGAATATGCAAAATGAAAGAAACTTAATTCCTTCCATATTAATTATGCCTTCAAGTTTTTGAAACATGTACTTTACCATACTGTTAATAGGGAGACGTCATTAATAGATGGGACAACTTTAGATTTGTAATACCTACACAGATTCGAGGGAGTAGTTACAATGCAGTAACTGCAAATGTTAGCAAAATCCAATGAAAAATGGCTTAGCAGGCCAAGTCTTTTCACATTGATGAGCCCTGGGTTAGTAAGGCAGCTCAAAAATACTGCATTTGTGGAGCCTGCCTCTTACTGGCTTCCTCCTCTGTCAAGCTTAGCATTGAGTTTCTGTCCTCCTGGTTGTCAGATGTCTGATATGCCCTTTGGTATTCACCATTCAAGAAAAAGATGAGGTCTAAGGCATTTCACAGGCGAAGCACACCTGAGCCAGGTTTTATCCTTTTGAAATGCTTTTCTGGAAACTCCTCTCAAAGATTCCTTTCTGTCTCATGGAGTAGAACTGGGTCATATGGTCTCCTCTAGCAATAAGAAAGTATGGAGTCATTTCAGTTTTTCGATCTTTATAAAAGAAAGTAAGGGGAAAGGGTGTTATGATTACCTTTTGTGGCCAATCCATTGTCTTTTTTTTTTTTTTTTAAGATTTATTTATTTATTTATACAAGCACTGGGTACAGTCAGAAGCGCAGGAGGGTGAGAGAATTCACCAGAGTCAGAGCGGGGAACAGAGCAGGCAGACTGATGATAAACACTGTTGAGGGGAGCAGCGGGCAGCAAGAGAGGTCTGCGCGCCATGTGGGACCCTCACCCAGTGGCCGGGGATCGAACCAGCACTGCAGAGGCTGCAGCAGCTTTGCAACCCAGCGCTCAACTGCTGCACCACCGGGGAAGCCCCCAATCCATTGTCTTACCACAAGAAAAAATTCAAATCTATTTGATGAGTTTCTATTTTTAAGGTAATTTTTCTTAGAATCAACCCCAATATTAGGGAAAAGTTAAAAAGAGTAATTTAACAAGTATCCTGTGTAAAACCTACTTTCTATCTTATTAGACATCTATTTAGGGAAAAAAGAAGGCATTGTGAAAACAGACTAAGGAACTTCTGAATTTGGGAATTCTGGGGTAGAGGAAAAGGCATTGGTCAGATGGCATCTGACTGTTCTGTCTAGCTCTTTCCCTTGTTCTCCATTCTGGCTGAAAGGGTGAATGGAGCTTTAATTAATTAATTAGTTAGTTAATTAATTTATTTGTTTAAAAGATTGATTTATTTGTATACAAGGGCTGAGATATAGGCCAGAGATGCGGGAGGGTGAGAGGATTCACCAGAGACAGAGCAGGAAGCAGAACATGCAGACAACCGAAATACACTGCTTGGGGGAGTAGTGGGCGCTACAGGAGAGGTCTGCCATGCCATGTGGGAATTGCCCTGGCCGGCCAGGAATCGAACCCGCGCTGAAGAGGCTGTGGACAGCTTCACAGCGCTGTACTCGACCCACTGTGCCACCGAGGAGGCCCAGGGCTTTGATTTTAGAAACAAACTTTTTAATGTACATTTTCTGATGCTGACCCTACTTCCTCTCCTTCCAGTCTACCACACTCAGCACTCAGACACTTGATTATAGTTGTCCTTTGTAAGAGACCATGTCTTTCTGCAATTAGAGATAGAAAGTTAAAAATCCAGTAAGTCTTTTGGATCCCTGAATAGGCAGTAGATGGGCAGAAGAAAACTACTGGAACAGTCTTTTGTTCTGTATAAATAGAAGTAGAAGCACTTCCTATAATATGTACCCAATATACAGGTACCAAGAGAACTGTGGTTAAAGGCATTAGGAGATGTTATTATATTTCAGGTCTGCCTGAAAAATTAGAAGCATTAAATCTCTGAAGAGCATTCAGCTAGCAGTTGAGAAAATCCATAAATGTTAATTTGGAACTCTTAAACAAAATGAGTGTATTCCTTTTAGAGAGAGGATTATATGATGTTGACTGGACGTTTGCAACTTGCAGCTGCTATAACAAGGACTTTAGATAGGATCAGCCCACAGACC